GAGAGTGAATCTCCCCTAGAACATGGGGAGAGGGACCGCCATATTTTTGTCTTTCTTGCCGCCGAGAGTAGTGGGGCGAGGCCCTACATGTTTTTTCAAAAGCTATATTCTTCTCTCATCTATCTCATTTTTCTTGCTGCCAGGGCCGTGGTCCCATTAGCAAAGAGCATCGGATGGAATGCCCGAATCTGGACGTGTTCGAGGACAGGAGCAGGAAATCGAGATCGAACTGCTTTTCTGTATCTCTGCATAAAGCATGCCCAGATTCAGGATTTCTATCCTATCCCCTTTGCTAGTGGGACCACGGCCCAGTACTCATCTATCTCATCCTCTCACTAGTGTATGCGTAGTACGGGGGAACACCAACCAACCCGGGGGCTAGGTCCCACTTGCACGGATTAGGAGATTTGGGCCTTTGATCTTTGCTATCTACGGTCTCTATCTCTTGATTCGCGCAAGTGGGACCTAGCCCGGGATCTCTCCCCAGCCCAGTGGGTAGGTTGGCACCACAGCAGTGGTGCGAGAGCCATGCTGTACCAGTCCCTCATCACGGTGACGAGGGGTGGGCAGGCATTACCGATGGGGGAAATCGGCGGTGCTAGCGCCGAGCAATGGCCAGTCACTGCACCTTACCCCCCCCTCAAATTAACAACGCGTATGTAACCAGGGGCTAGGTCCCACTTACACGAATCAACCGACATTGACCGTGGATGACAAAGATCAACGGCCATATTCTCTTAATCTGTGCAAGTGGGACCTTGCCCCAATAACGGAAGGAAATGAAATAAAGAAGGGGAATTGTTTTTTTCCCGGAAGCAAATGAAATAAAGGAGGGGAAAAAAACAATTTTCCCGCGCTTTCAGAACGTCGTTCACAGGTAGTCCGGTTTTTTCCCCGCCCGTCGATTCAAGCTCACTGCTCCAAACCGAGCTGACTGTCTTTTTTTTTTTTGTTTTTGTTTTCTTGTTTTTCCGGAGAATACTCGTTTGGGTCTGATCCCACACTACATACGGTATGTAGTTTTATGGATTTTTCGAGATCCCACAGTGCTCCGGTGTAGCAGGCGGCACCGTCGACTTCGGAGGTGAGTGGACACGTTTGTTGTCGTGGCGGTCTGGGAGTGAGCGGTGGCGAAAAAGTAGTGCGGGTTGAATTGTGAGGTCCCCGGCCTCGGCCCTATTTTCTTTTGAAATCCAATGTTCAACGCTTTCCAAAAAAAAAAAAAAAAAAAGAAAAAAAGTAATGCGGAAATGTGAGGAGTGCTGGACCCCTACCCGTCCGCGAAAAAGCTGGAGCAGCTTTTTGTTGTTGTTTTTTTGTTTTTTTTCCCGTCCGCCACCCTCCCACATTATTGCGCCGCGATGCCTGTAAAAGGGCCATTCTTTTCGGAGTTGTGGGATGCAATTTTCCTTTCACGGTCCATCCGGAGCGGGCCCAGCTTTTTCGATTCCGTTTCCGTATGTAGTGTGGGATCAGACCCTTACAACATGAAAGGAACAAGCGTTATACCGAACTTTTTGAAAAAAAAAAAAAAGGAAAAAAAAAAAGGAACAAGGGTGAGAGCAAGGGCCGTTGATCATTGCTATCTACGGTCTGCATCTTTTAATTCGTGCAAGTGGGACCTAGCCCCGGGGGACCCACAATTCGAGGGTGAGAGCGGGCTGTCTTTCCCCGAGCAGAGCACACGGTGATTATATAGCGGTATTTGGGCCATATTTCCTCCTAAATACAGAGAGAAATGACCAGGCGTTCTGTTCGGGGTAAGCAAGGATCTTCGGACTCGACGCTTTGGCCCCTTTGTCCCGACCCTGCTTCCCTTTCCCCGAGCAGAGCACACGGTGATTATAGCGGTATTTGGTGGAGCTTTCGACCTAGATACACAGAAAATGACCGTAATAAATGATTTTATTAAAAAAAAGAAAAAAAGAATGACCGTGCCTTCTGTTCGGGGAGCTTCGGACTAGACGCTTTGCTGCCTTTTTTTTTTTTTTTTTTTTTTGGGCACACTTCGCTGCTTTCTCCCGACCCTGCGTCCTGACCAAGCAACACGACAGGAACTGGTTCGTCAAACGTCGCGTCCGGGCCGCGGACCGTCACGCACCTGGCGTGAAGGGCATTTTCGAGGTCTCTCTGGACGTAATTGCCGTCAGGTGCATCCAAAATCCGCCTAATACACATCTACGATAGGAAAGTCCCAGTGTGAATCTGGCCTGAGCCAGTTGTTTGTTAGCCATCAACATGCATGAAACTTTTTTTTTTTTTTTTTTTCCACATGCATGCATGATTTTTTAAAATATATTATTATTATTTTTTAGATGCATGATTTTTTATTTTTTTTTAAAAAGAAAACATGCATGATCTTCGGGGCATGCAGACTAGCACTTTTCTTTATGTATCTGACCACAACTACGGTTCAAGCTGGATGCATCTGACTGGAAAACGTCCAGATCTGAGTCGAAAAAAGTTACCCTTGCGAGTATGCCCACAATCCCGGTTCTACAGCGGTGAGGGCCCGCTGCCAAAGCGGATTGAATTTCACGCGTGAATCCGAACGTGTTTGCTGACGGGTGCAGAAATGACGCGATTGAAGTGCTTTTCTGGATCTCTGCATGAAACACATCCAAGATTTTGGCGCTTGCTTCAATCCGCTTTGCTACCGTAGTGGGACCTCCTTGCCGCAGGTAGTGGCGTCAGTTGTACTCCCCCCGCCTGGCTGTCGAACAATCGGCCATCCTTGCAGTTGTCTTCAGTTCAATGCGGCAACCTCTCCAACTTCTGTGTCATGCGCACTTCGCGCATTGTTTTCTGCTACTCTGCTCAAGTTCATAGCTGCCTGTCGTCTTCCTCTGTGTATTTGGCGAAGATGTCGTACGTCTTCCACAGTGCCATCCCATAGCTGTCTCCGGTCTTCCAATCCTGTTTGCAGTGCCAGGGCCGCCCTCTACAACTTCACATGGAAGACGCTGCACCCTACCCGCCCGTTCATGGCCACGTCGAGTCGTCTCTTCTTCTCCCCTTAACTGCCACTTGCCCTCATTCTGTCTCGCCCGGTAGCTAGCTAGCACTCAACTGTACACCTTCACTACGTCACGTGGAGGCCGGCCAGCTGGCCAGCCAGTACGCAGCGATCTCGCGACTGGCAGACCCAGGCACACACACACACACACACATATACACATATACGTGACCACACACACATACACACACACACAGAGAGAGAGAGAGAGAGAGAGAGAGAGAGAGAGAGAGAGAGAGAGAGAGAGAGAGAGAGAGAGAGCTGTATGTTGTGGTCTCCAGGCATGACTGCAGGGAAGTCATGCAAGTCGTTACTGCGGCGGGACGGGACCGGGACTATAAGGAGGGGAGAATGCCGGAAGATGTTGACGTCATAAATAATTAATGTCCCGTGTTGCCTAATTGGTCTGTCGTTGATGGGGACTGATTATTGTCCCTTCTGCCGCTCATAAGAGGGAAAGTGAGTGAAGCGTAATGTGATTCGTGTCCACGTCGGGAGTCCCCTTTCGATGATAGCCAGCCAATCTATCTATCTAATTGCCCCGAATAATTTTGGCCAGCCAATCTATCTAACATCTCATTGAGCCCACTATTTTGTAACCCTTGAGCGACCGGTTGTAACCCTTAAGCGACCGGTACTCGCTCGATTAATGAGGACATTACTCACACAAGGACTTTTTTCCTACTCAGTCTGTTTTCTGCACGTGGTTGCAGTCAGATGCATCCAGCTGGGTAGTAATTGCGGCGAGAAACATTCAGGAACGTGCTAGTGTCATTATGCTCTGAGATTAGCAATGGAGCCCGGAGCCATAGTCATGAAATATCTAAGTAACGGTTCGCTTGGCCATGGCTTATAGGCTGCGGTGTGATCAATCTGGCTGCGTGCCCGTGTGATAGAAAGGCAGCAGAGCCGTTGATTCCCGGGAATCGACGACGGTCATCGTGGCGGTATCATGAAAGCTCAACGCGGTGCTTGGAGGGGGGAAGCAACACTGTGTTCGAGAGCGATTCCAAGCCCCGCGATCCGCGACTCCCTAATTTATTTGTCATTTCTTTGAGGGCATACTCGCACTAGGACTCTTACAACGCTTTCTAGACGTAATCGTGGTCAGATACGTCCAGATGCGGCTGTAAACGGGGTCAGATGCATGTAAGATAGTGCTGCTAGTGTGAGTACGCGCTGACTCTACCGGAGGAGTGTGCATTGCGCACAGAGATAAATTGATCCGGATGTTTTTTAATCATGGGAAAGACTTAGTGTACATTCCGCTGACGTACATATGTCTGAGGGCATATTCGCACATTTTGGGCTCCTTTGGATAGAATCTGGGCGTAATTGCGGGTGGATACGTCTCAGGAAGTCCTGTAGTGTGAGTAATGTGCTCTGAGATGGTGAAGCTCAACCTTTGTCTCTGCTATGTCTCTGAAGAGAACCAGTAGCAGAGGGATGACGAGTACACTGCGGTGAGCGTCGGATGTACTTAGCAGTAGAAGAAGCAGACGGATGCGGCTAAAGAGGAGGAAGAGAGTAGTTGTAGTAGTACTAGCAGAAGGGAGAGAGACGCTGTCGGCAGGTGCGCGCGCCCGCCCAGGGTTCGTGCAGCTGTGAACAGACGTATAACTAACGAGGTGTAGTTCTTCTTCTACTTATTATAGAGAAGAAAGTCGACATTGCAGTACGACCGCCAAGTGTTACGGAACAACAAAGGGGCGCATCTTGACCACAGAAGGAAAAAAGTCTCCTAGTTAAAGGGAGGAGATAAGGAGCGGCGGAAGAAGAGGAGGAGCGGAAGGTGAGGCGGACAAGAAGGTGGTGGTGGTGGAGGAGGAGGAGGAGGAGGAGGAGGAGATTCAAGAGGGAGAGAACAAGTGCGAACGGGGGATTTTTCTCGGACTGAGTTTCTCGAACAGCAGAGAGAGAGAGATCGCTTTCCTGCGAGAGGACAAGAGCTCGGATCGGTCTCGATGCAGAAGAGCCGATCGAACCGCTTTATTCCTGTATCAAGCATCTCCTGCTCTCATTCGTCGCGGGTCAGCTGGAAGACAGAAGCGACCACCTGAACATCGATGGCAGTGGCAGCTGCCGAGCCCACGTGGCAGGCGGAGAGAGAACAGGAAAGGCAGTCTGGAGGCAGGAACCTTGTCCGCGGCCGGTCGTCGAAGGGCAAGCGAAACTCGAGATCGTCGTCGGGATGCCAGGTGTCATATGCGTACCGTCGCAGGAAGCAGATTCAATGCATGCTCCTCGGCCGCAGGAGCAGATGCGAGGAGAAGGAGACGCCGGGGAGGAGGTGGAGTGGAGTGGGGATGAGCTCCGTAGGAGGGGATCTCTGGACAGCAGCCTGCCGAAGGATAGGGTTGTCCCGCTGTCGTCATCGTCATCGGCAGCTAAGGATGGAGTGCGTCGCACATGGCCGCCTTCGAAAATCCCGCGCTTCTCGAGCTGTGAAAGGATTGACCGGCATGGGCGCGAAGGCGGAAGCGGGGGGGATACGGGGGTGGCGGAACGCGCAGCACGCGGGGGGGAGCATGACGTGGACCTGCGCCGCTCTTCGCTTGGAGGGGGGATAGCAACTGGTTCTCACCAGATCAAGGATATGCGGAGCCGCATGCTTTCGGCGGGAAATGGCAGCCACCGAGATGGAGCAGCAGGAGGAGGAGGAGGAGGAGGAGGAGGAGAGAGAGGAGAGAGAGGAGGGAGGTTTACCAGTCCGAACACGTGGTCGGTCGAAACAGTACGCCTTAGCGGTAGTTCTCTCGAGGGGAGCCAGAGTCTGCTGGCAAGGGCTATGTTGATGAGCAAGGGCTGTTCCAGGCCCTCTCTGATACCGAAGGCGCCGGGGGTGGTTCTCAGGTGCAACGCACCTGGTCCTATACAGTTCGGGGAGCAGCTGGGCAAGCGAGGAAGTGTGCTGGCGCGCCCAATGGCGGGATCTATCCCACAGAATGGCGGCGTCGGGATGAGGGAGATCGGGACGAGCAGTCGCTGTGGGGGGTCGGAGAAAATTGGCGGGAAATTGGGACTGATCAGGGCGTCAGTCGGGGCTAGCGATAGCAGCAGCGGCAGCCTCAGCTGCAAGGGCGGGGTATCGTCTGCAAGCGAGGAAGTAGGAGTGGTCCGACTGAGGGAGGCGACGGCAGGGAGGGGGGCGGTTAACCGGTATGGAGAAAGGCCGTCAGCCTCGATGCAATACAGAAGCGGGCAGAGGATCAGCGTCGTGAGTGTTGGCGCTGGCGCAGGGTCGGCGGCGGGGGAATCATCCCCAAATCTGGCGGGAAACGGAATACTAAAGCCTGGCCAGGAGACGAGGAGCGGTAAGGAAGGCAGAGGAGGAGGAGGAGGAGGAGGAGGAGGAGGAAGAGGGAGAGGGAGAATGCTTAACGGAGACGGGGGGAGTTCATTGATTTCACAGAAGTTGGCGGGAGGAGGGAGAAGAGAAGGGACGGCGCCGGGCGCCAGAGCGGAGACTACCTCGGTTTTGACTGACTCATCCCGCAAGCTAATTAAAGAAGGAACAGCACTTGGAGATAGGAAGGATTCTGCTTCTTCGTCTCTCAAGGGTGTGAGGGCTGGGATACCGACCGCGAGAGGGGTAGCTTCCGGTCAGAACGTCGGGGAAGCTCGGGGCTATGGAGATCGGTCGATCTCGGCGTCTTTCACCGGCAAGCGGCCTGAACGCAGCAGCATCGGAGGGTCCGCTTCTCGTCCTTCCGCCGCCGCCCCTAATGCTCGTCGGCTACCGACTGCTGCCATTGGCGGGGTCTCGTCGAGGTCCCGACCTCCAGTCGTTGGAGAGGAGAAGAAGACGTCAACATCGACCTCGGGGGTGGCACCACCACCACCCAAAGCCGCCACCGGGAAGTCCACCATCGCTCGCATTGCATCTTCTTCAACTCCAGCTTCTTCAGTCTCGTTTTCGCCATCGCTCGACGGCGATGGCCCCCCCAAGAGTGGTGCCGCTGGGGGCTCATTAGGGCCTGCTTGCACCAGATTAGGCGGCGGCGGGACACATTGCTGCAAGGGGGACCGGAGGGACTGCGGCAACCATGGAACGGCTTCCGCGGCCCGCCATGGGCCGAAACCCGGATCCTTCTCGGTAATGCCGAGTCGACTTAATCCTAATCCCGATCCACGTGGCAACGCAGGAGGGGGGGGGGAGCAAAAAAGGGCTCGTAGTCTTGTAGTATCGTCGTCGCCAGCTTCCCATATCAAAGCCACATACGTGTCGGCAAACCCGGAGACGATGGCACCGCCCCCGCTGGGGAAGATGCGCAAAACCGTACATCCCGCGAAGTCGGGCGCGGGGGCGACGTCGCGCCCGGTGCGACAACCGGGCCAGTCGTCGGCGGCGACGGCTATGGCGGGCGTGGTCGCTCAGAAGGCTCCGGCGGCGATGCCGGGGAGCCGGGGGGGGGTAATGAAGCAGCAGGCAAGAACGGGGGGGGAGTCGTCAGAAAGAGCGAAGAAGTTGTCCGCGCCCGTTGCTGCCCCCGCGGCGAAGAAGACGATGGCTGTCTTAAAGCAGGAGGAGCGGCAGGAGGAGAGGCTGCTGCTCGTGCTGGGTGACGTCGGGGTCGGGACTGACCACCAGCGGGAAGTTGCCGGCATGGATCGTGAAGATGCAGTCCCCCTGGAGCGAACAGCGGACAAAGAAACACGTTCGGTGGTAATCAGCAGAGGAGGAGAACGGATATTGTCTTCTTCTTCATCACCCTCCCCGCACATCGGGCTCAAGAGATCAGCGGCGTTGGCTATTGCGGCGGCGGCGGGGAGGGGGGGTAGCAAAGCAGGAGGGGGTGATGAAGAGAGTGGGGGTGGGGGAGATGCAAGCCCAGCTCCTGATGGAAGGATATGCAACGGACCGACGAGCGGAAGCGACAGCTATAATGGAGAAAGCGGCCGGTCGATCTCTCTGGTCTTGCCGGCTGCGCCTCCTCCTTGTTCAGACGTTTCCGCGAAAGAGCCCGCGTCACTGCTCGTCAGCTCTCATAGTCATTACACAAGTCTAGTAGAACCGGTAGTGGGCGATAAAGCCGCGAAAGGGAAGCTTGAAGAGCAGTCTGCTGGCCCGACAGGAGGCAGACGGAATGGGTACCACGAGCCGTCATCATCGCCCTATGCTCCTGGCGTTGGCGTGATCTCCGCGCCGCCGCCGCCGCTAGTGAGGGACGAGCAACAGCAGTTGGCTGTACGAACGTGCCAGCAGTCAACGGAGATGGTCAACGGTCAACGAAAAGTTGTAGAGACGGTGGAGGGGGAGTCGATCCCGATCCCGATCCCGGAGCAAGCGGCTGTCAAAACAGCGGGCTTGGAGGTAGCGACACGTGGCGCGGACTTGACAGACAAAGAGAATCTGAGGACAGATTTGGCGGGTGAACAGTTGTCTTCTTCTGTGGGGCCAATCAAGGCATCATCGTGCCGACTGCAGGCAGCGGGGTCGTCGATCGAGGAGGTGGAGGAGCAGAAAAGACATTGTCGTGATGAGGGAGGGGTTATGGAGAGCACCGGCAGATGTACGACGACGAGGGTAGTGGCCAGCTCACAGGGCAAGTCTGACGGTGTAGCATTACCGAGAAGTGCAACGAGGAAGATTGGCACAGCAGGGTCAGCGACGCCCGGGGGAGTGGCGGCCGTGAGGGTGGAGCGTGAGAGAAAGGAGGTTCAGGTTCGTCATCATCATCATCATCAGCAGCAGATGCCAAAGGAGGAAGAGGAGTGGGTAAGGCCAGCCAATTTACTGTCGGAATGGAGGAACAGAGGCAGAGAGTCGCGGGTAAGGGGAGGAGGAACGATTGCCCCGGGGGAGGGGGGAGGAATTGCCAGTAATCGATTGCCGGCTGGAGAGAGAGGAGGGAGAGCGGATGCACGCAGCAATGCAGGAGGAGGAGGTGGCGGCAAATGCGTCGTCGCGACGACGGCTGCAAAGGTCGTTCCTCTGCCGCTTCCCGATCCCGACTTCTCTCCGAGGAAACCACCGCCGTCGGCAGTAACGACGCCGGGCTCAACGTCGGGCACGAAGAACACCCGCCTACTCGTTGATCGGAAGCAGCCGCACGAGGAGGTTGGAGATGAAGGAGGTGAAGGAGGTGGTTGCATTGCTGAGTCGACGATTGCGCCGATGAAGAAGCAACAATGCCATGCGGAAGGGGCCGTGCGCACTTCTTCCTTGCACAACGGACCTAGTAGTAATATTAGTATGTCTCCAGTATCGCTGATTGGTGGGGGAGGAGTAGGTGGTGTTGGGTATCTTTCGCAGTCCGATGTGGATCCTGCTGCTGCTCGTGCTGTTGCCACTCCGATGGTTGGCGGCAATGAAAGTGATGATGGGGGCAAGATGTTCGCAGTGAGGACGAGCGATGCGCTGCGTTCCGTGGCGGGTGAGCCCTTTGGTGTTGGATTTGGTCTCGGGGAAGGAGGGGGAGGAGGGGGCAACACCAAGCTGCTACTTGTTGGTGTCAGCAACGACTTCATGCAGTGGACGACAACGCGGGAGGAGGACGATTCCATCGCATTCGCGAGGAGGGGGTTGGTGTGTGGGAGCACGAGCACGGAGGAGGAAGCTACGCGTATGAAGTTATCAGTAGGAGGAGGAGCGGCAGCAGCAACCATCACTCCATCATCAGGAGTGGCGGCGCAAGGCGCAAAGAAAGCGGAGAGAAGAGGAGCAATACCAGCTGTAACGACAAGAGGGACAACGCCTGCGGCAGTGGGAGGAGCTGAAGCCTCGTCCATGGGAGCAGTGGACCGTGGTTTTGGCGGGAAAGATCTTTCCGCTACTATTGTTCAAACTCACACTGTCGCGGCGCCTGGTTCGTCGTCTCGAGGCTGCAGTTCTATGGCGGCGGATGGCAGATTTGGCGGGAAAACCTCGTTCCAAGCGGAAAAAGACGAAGATGAGTATCTCTCTGCCGGTGTGGTGCGTGTCGGTCTGTCGGGATCCGGGAGGCATTGCTATGATGGCGATACTGCGTCTGACCGTGACCACCTCCTCTCTGTTCCCTCGTTAGCGATGAAAAATGGCGCCGCCGCCACGGAAGCAGCTGACAGGTTGATGACTCCCGCCCTCTCCTCACTCCCATCTCCCGCCGTTTCCCCCCCGGCCCTCCCGCCCTCGCTGACGGGAAAGGGAGAGGAGGTAGGGATCGTGCCGCCTTTCATGTTGACGGGGGCAAAAAGTTCTTTGCTTAGACAAGCGAGCGTGGAGCGGAACGGCAGCCGCCGCCTCCTGCCTGACTCGCCAATGCCCTGGCCATCGCCGACGATGACCACCGAGAAGCTTGTTTGGACTAGTGAGAACGGGGTTGGGGTTTTGGCGGGAACGAAGGGTGAGCCGGACAAGAGAGGTGGCGGGGGGAAAGGGCTCGCCTTGTTTGCCGAGCTATCAGCACTTAGCGCCAGCAGCTCGCCGGTCCTGTGCCGCTCGGCCGATGACAGAGATAGCCAGTGGTTGTTGCCGCAATCCAATGGCTTGAACCTGTCGGGTGAGAGCTTAAGTGGCGGCAGCAGCTATCGGCCGGGCTACCCTGTCGAGGCCTGCAGCACTCAGCAGGCAAGAGACCCGCCGGCGGCAAAAGGTAGGGGTGAACGTGGCATTCCGCAGCAGCAGCAGCTGCAGCAGTTCTCGAGTCAGCATGAGCAGCAGCAATGTCATGCCGAAGATGAGAGAGGCGGCGGCGATGGTGTGAAATCGGACATAGCCAAGAAGAAGAGAAGGACGGAAGGTGTGGAGGGGCGGGAGAAGCAGCCGGCGGGCTCCAAGAGGCAGCCTCCAGCGCGACTCCAAAGCAGCGATGGCAGGAGTGTGGGGACGGCTATCAGGAGGGCGAGGGGGGGGCACCAGGAAACCAGCTCGGCAGATGTCGGAGTACCTATCTGGCCACAGCATGCGCAAGGGAAGAATAATGCCGCTTTCGCTCTCGTCGCCAAAGATTACGACGCGGTGGACATTAACGGATGCTGCAGAGGAGGGCTGCGCTCCGCACCTGCAGCACATCATCAGCTCAAGGAGAGCCCAATGCCGCCATCGCCCCCACCAGTAGTGACTGAGGCACACTTTTCAGGACCATGTTCTCCGGTCAACCAGACCAAACAGGCGATTTCTGCTATTCTTCCTTCTTCTTCTTCTTCTGCTTCTTCTTCTACTACGTCTTCGTCGTCGCTATCATCGTCGCTATCATCGTCGCTATCATCGGCAGGAATGGTGGCGTCGGGGGCAGCAGCACAGCAGCAGGTTCTGGGAAAAGTGGTGCCGTGGGGAAAGGGGAGAAGAGTGGTTGAGAAAGGGGGGGGACAGCGCCAGGCGGGAGTGGGTGATGTGGCAAATGTCGGGATCGGCATTGTCGCAAATCTCGTGCGAGCAGATGAGGGAGGAGGAGGCGCTGCTGCTGCTGTTGCTGCTGTTGCTGCTTCTCTCAGCGGCTTCAACTCGCCTAATAATGCTGGGTTGGTAGTGAAGACGGTCTTTGGTTCTCCACCCGGTCGCGTCAGCCTTTTACCTGTTAGTCTTACTCTCGCGGCTGGAAGTGCTGGCGTTAATGGCGGCGAAGGTGGGGGTAGGATTGAGAACTGCCCTGGCCCCCATCTTCCGAATTTCAACGCAATCCCTCAAGATATACTGGATGACTTACAGGTCGATGACGTGTTTGATCTTGAAAAAGACGACACTTTCACTTGCTACGATGTGCCTCAGAATATTGCCGATATATTGCAATTGGAGGTGCGATCATCTATGAGCATCGATGGTGCTACGGGCAGGCTGAGTCGAGGTTCAGACGGGGGAGAAAGCCTGTTGTTGAGCGGATACACGTGTTATAAGATGCCTAAGGAGCTGCTGGAAATGACAGATGGTGAGAGTAGCAGCTGCACGTCGTCCTTGCGTGGAAGCCTTGCCTTCTCCGGCGGCGCCTCTAGAGATGCGATTGCCAGCAGCAGCCACCGGCGATCGAGCGGCGTGGGGGCGGCGGCGGCGACGGGGGGGGGTGTGATTGATTGTGGCGGGAGGGCGGCGAGGGGGGTGGTGGTTGATTGCCGGGGTCAGAAGCTCCTCGACGTCGTTGATCAGCCCTCGGCAAGATTGATGGGCCAAGGTAATCAGGACGAAGCGACGATGGGATTGGGGTCGCCTCGCCCTACTTCTCCCTCTCCTACTCCTCCTCGCATTACCCATTCTCCCGTTGTACGCGATGGTGGAGAAGTTGGTGAGGTCTCGGGTCAGGAGGGCTGCGAGGAGGAGGAGGAGGAGGAGGAAGAGAGTAGAATGTCGAACTCCCTTCATGCTGACAAACAAGGAGCAGATGGTCGGACTGGGGGAGGCGCCAACTCGTTCAGCGGACGACCGGTCGTTGGTAAGGGAGGAGAAGTTAGTAGTAGAAGAAAGGAGGACGTCCGAAGTGATGCTTATTTCCATCTGCCCCCCTGGACCGGGGAGGCTCTCGACGGCGCAGTTGCTGCTGGTCAGGGTCAGCAGCACCGTGACGAGGTGGTAAGCGATCACGTACGACCGGTCGTTGATAACCTGCAGGTCGAATTCAAAAGCAAGGCAGACGACGCGGGGGCAAAGATGGCAGGAAGCGTGCGGTCGCCGGACGCTGACCGCCATGGACTGGTCCTTCCCGCTGCCGCGCCCGCCGCCGACGACGTCGCGGCCGCGGTGTTATGTGTCTCTCCTGTCTCGTCCGCCGCGTCTGCGAATGGCGATCATGTAGGTATCCCGATCTTATCGATCCGATCTCTAGAAAAAGACGACTGTGAATGTGAGTTGAAGAGTCCTGACGATGGAGCGAGTTTCGCGGGGAAGAGGGGAAGGGGAGGCGAGGTAACGGAGGAGGAAAAGGTGGGAGGAGATGTCCCGTTGCAGGCAGGTTTGTCATCGACGGCGATCGCATTGGCCATCACCCGGAAGCAGACGCAGCAGCCTTTGGCGGCTGTCGGGATCGCGGCGGAAGAGGAAGATGACGGTGACTCTGGGGTGTTGAGCAGTAAAAGAGGGGTCACTGTCGCGGTGGCGTTGCGAAAAGGGGCTGGAGTGGGGGTCTCTTCGCCGGTGGAAAGGTCACTTGGACGATCCAATGAGGACAATTTGCTCGATACGGAGAGCGCGAGCGGGACGGAGGATTGGCTGCTGAAGCCGCCGGTAGTGAAAGGTGGACACGGCGGCGGCGGGGGGTTGGTTGGCCGACCGGTCGTAGCTCCCGCCGGAGTGGGTTCTTCTTCCCCTGCGGCTGCAGACCGCCGCGATCATGTGGACAATGCCGGGCGTCTTCTTCGGTCTGGCCGAAGACAGACACGTGTCACTGAGAAAGATGGCATTGAGAAGGGGAGGGGAGGTTGTGATGAAAATGACCTCTCCACGAAGGACAGGGGAGAGGAGTCGCTGGAGTTGTTCGCGGCGTTGAAGAAGAGGCCCACGCTGGGTGTCAGCGATGGGGTGATGGGGGAGGACTGGTCGGGCTTGGACAGCGTGCCGAACGGCGGAGAATCCCTTGAGCAGCAGAACGGGTTCTATAGGAGAAGAGGAGATAAATGGGGGTTGACGAGTTCGTTGGATATGGAGGTGGGAAGGATGGCTATGGAGAACCCTCCGTTTGACGAAGATTTTAGTCTCGAAGCGATGGTGAATGGGGGAAGACGGCGGTTGGGAGGAGGGAGAGGGGGGAGGAGAGGAGGAGGCACGGAAAGTGAGGTAAGTAGGAGCATGCCTTCGTTCTCATCACCACCACAGCTGAAGAGGGGCGAGGGGGGGGAGGAGCCCCCCTCGCGTCCAACCCCCGCTTCGTCGTCTTCGTCGGTCGTTGGCGAGTGCAATGCTAGTATTAATCCTACGGATGCCGAAGCCGGAGGCGGCGGCGGCGGCTCTCTTGCCGTCGCTGTCACGGGTGGCCGTAACGTGTCTCGCGATCGGGATCGGGATCGGGACAGGGACAGGGGAAGAAAACTGCACCCGTGCGTAATCACCTCAGAGGAGAGTTTCCGCAGCAGCAGCAGCAGCAGTGGTGCTCTGTTCATCGGCAATATTCAGGTGACAGTGAATCCTGTGGGCCCGGTGGTGGAGGAGAAGACGAAGCAGCTTTGTAAAGCGTCGGGTCTCGACCCCGATCTGATGGAGAGTTGGGAGTGGGAGGACGTTTTGTCAAGTCAGCAATGGTCGTCCATGGAGAAGAAGAGAGCATCAAGTATCAAGCGAGCTGGCGACCGTCTGCAAAATGACCAACGTGAGGGAGGAACAGGAATGGTGGTGGAGGGGAGGGGGGGGAGTAGAACCAACAACCATGCTGACGACTCGGGCCAAAGGACAGCCTTGGACGGGAGTCCCTTGGGAGAAGGAGTGCTTTCTCCATCACCAGCGCCCAGCAAAGGGGTTGGTCCGAAGCTCGCGTCACGTCCATTTAAAGAGCAGCAGCAGCAGCAGCAGCAGCAGCTACCTAAGTCACCGGGCAACCACACGTTCTCCGACAACAGATCGAATGGTTATGGGTTCTTGTCTGATCCCTGGAACCATGCGGACTATGGTGCGCGAGCTGGGGCGACCAATGTGGTAGGTCTAGTTATATAGCCTGAGGCCCCTCCTTGAAGTCAGTCACTTCTTCTTTTTTCTCTTTCTCTCTTTCTCTCGTTCTCTCTTTCTCTCGTTCTCTCTTTCTCTCTCTCTCTCTCTTTCTTTCTGTCGGTCGTCGTTTTTCTTGTTTTTCTTGTGTTTCCTCCCCCCCCCCTCCCGGCTTTCTCACTCCCCCCATCTATTGCCGGAGTGCATGGATTATTTTTCATTTATTTTTGAGAGTTTAGATTAATAAAAGGGCGTTCCACCTCCACCTTCTCTGGAATGGAACCGGGGTGTGGATTCCTTTCCGTTGGTTTTCTGTTTCTTTTTTTTTTTTTTTAACCAGTTTCCTCCGGTATTTGTCAGTTTGCTGCGAGGTGTTGGGATTACCTTCTTCCCTCTCTCTCGCGCCAAGCTAATTAACCTCCTTAAGTTTTCCATCTCTCGCGGCTCGTCGACTCCTCCATTGCGCTGCTTCAGGATGTGCCACGTGTATGTATTCGTTCCTTTTGGTGGTTTAATAGAAGGGATGCGAGCCTGAGTCGGGGTCTTGTTGCCGGCCCATCAGGATGTGACACGTGTATTTAATATACTCACCATTTGTATCAAATTACAATACATTTGCTCAGGATATTATGGTCTTCCAGATGGGGATACGCTGATCGGGATCGGGAAAGAGAGGGAGGGAGGGGTCACGGAGACGCCAATGCCGCCGAAGCTAACTGAAAAGCTAACGGAGAAGCCAACGCAGAATCCATCGGAGAAACTAACGGTGATGAAAGAGTAATTAGGCGGCTTAGGCGGACTGGTCGGTGAATGTTATGGTCTGCGGTATGACATATGGTGATCGGGAAGGAGACGGAGGGCTAACGAAGACGCCAACGGAGAAGCTAACGTAGAAGCCAACGGAGAAGCTAACGAAGAAGCCAACGAAGAAGCCAACGGAGAAGCGAACGAAGAAGCGAACGGAGAAGCCAACGGAGAAGCCAACGGAGAAGCTGACGGCGAAGGAAGAGTAATTAGACCGACTGGTCGGTGAATGTTATGGTGTGGGGGATGGGATATGCTTATCGGGAAGGAGAGGGAGATATAACGGAGGTAGCCACCGGAAATGTTAACGGAGAAGCCAACTTAGAAGTTGACGGAGAAGAAAAGAGTAACGTGACCGACCGGTCGGTGAATGTTATGGTCTGCAGGATGGGATACCCCGATTGGGAAGGACAGGGAGGGCTAGCGGGGAAGCCAGTGGACAAGTTAACGGACAAGTTAAGTTAACGGACAAGTTAAGTTAACGACAACTTACGTTAATGACAAGTTAACTTGTCGTAACTCAACGACAAGTTAACGGGCAAGTTAACGGAGAAGCCAACGCAGAACGGACAAGTTAACGGAGAAGCCAACGCAAAACGGACAAGTTAATGGAGAAGCCAACGCAGAACGGACAAGTTAAGTCAATGGACAAGTTAACGGAGAAGCCAACGCAGAACGGACAAGTTAAGTCAATGGACAAGTTAACGGAGAAGCCAACGCAGAACGGACAAGTTAACGGACAAGTTAACGGACAAGTGAACGGAACAAGCCAACGGAGAAGCTAACGTGGAAGAAAGAGTACGTTGACCGAATTCGATCGCACGTTGACGGAATTCCATCGCCGGACGCACTCCTCTCCAGACTGCTGTTAGTTCATCGAGAGTCAAATTAGGCGGACGAGAGGGATTATGCTATTTCAGATCGCTTCTTTCCATTTCCACGTTTAACATTTTTTTCATTTTTTTTTTTGCCCCACGTTTTCGTCCCCTCGCTTTTCAGCTGGCTGCTGACCTTATCGTACGCTTGCGTGGCGCTCTGTAGTGTGAGTGTGTGTGACCCGCGGTCCTTTCATTGCAACCTGACTTCCCTTCGATATCCCTTTCCCTTGCCTCGACATGAAAGAGCGATGTCGTGGGTCGTTTGCTCTTTTTCTTCACTTACGTCCATACGTCAACCTGACTTCCCTTCGATATCCCTTTCCCTTGCCTCGACATGAAAGAGCGATGTCGCGGGTCGTTTGCTCTTTTTCTTCACTTACGTACACACGTCCTACGGTAGTCTCTGGGGGATATTGTTGCTAGCATTTATTTAGGGCCTCGCTCCACTACACAGCACCCTAAACGAAACTGGACAGCGGTTCTGTCCAGGTACATTTAGACTTACTGCACAATTTAAATGTATCAGGGCGATTACAGATTCATTACACCGTGGTGAGTATTGGCACGAGGCGCTTTTCGAATCAACACGTAAGTTCCCTTGGAATTCATCCGTCCAGGTAATGTAAACGACTGATTTTCATTTTCTGCAGTGCTCACCAAATGTGCGAAATGAGAATGAATTTTCCGCCAGAACATGCAAAAGATGCACCGCGATAAATGGTGTCTTTTGTGCATGTGGTGAGTATGAATCTTCCGCCAGAACATGCAAAAGATGCTCACCAAATGTGCAAAATGAGAATGAATCATCCATCCAGGTAATGTAAACGACTGATTTTCATTTTCTGCAGTGCTCACCAAATGTGTAAAATGAGAATGAATCTTCCCCCAGAACATGCAAAAGATGCACCGCCATAATTTGTGTCTTTTGTGCATGTGGTGAGTAGTGGAGCGAGGTTCTAAGAACTTCTAAGAACTTTCTGGGAATGAATCTTCCCCCAGATCATTCTAAGAACTTCTTGAACGATCCTGTCCTGGAAGCATGATACTCCCAATAAGAGGACGCTTTTCGTTCTTCGCAGGTTTCGGTGGAATACGAGTTGCTCCCCATTCAAATTCTCCTTTGACGCGATATTTAGCAGGATGCACTCTCGATTGTTACGATTATTAGGTGATTATATTAGGTATAATCAGGTGATTATTAGGTAAAAAGTCGCTTCCTTTTCCTGTTTAGGACTCTTATGTCAGCAACAGTTACTCGGGATTTCATTTACGGCTGAGGGACAGATCTCATCTGCTCTGCTGCTGTTGAAGCCACGCTGCGAAGGACAATCTCTCCTTGTTTTCGTATGGCCTCTGGATTGATTGTGCAATCACCTCAATAAGGGCACTCCTTAGCAGACGTCCTGGATCCGTGGATTGTCCGTTCACTTGGTGCCTGGTACCATAGTGGTGCCTGGATTGCCTGATTACCTGCCTAGCGGTACCACAATGGAACCTCGATTATCCGACCACCTGGTACCTCCTCGACTCTTTGGCAGTACGTTCTGGATTGGTGGAATGTCCAATCACCTGCTACTGTAGTTTTACCTCCTTGGATTGTCCTATCACCTGGAACCTGGTACCTGGTACCACACCTGCTTGTCCGATCACCTGGTACCTGGTACCGCACCCTGTTGTCTGGTCACCTGGTACATAGTAAAATTATGGCACTTCCTTGACTCTTCAGCACACCTTCTTGGATCCCTGGATTGTCTGGTCACCTGGTAGCCGGGCCAATAATGGTACCTCCGTGACTCTTTGACAGAGTCCTGGATTGGTGCATCGCCCGATCAACTGGTACCAAAACTAGATTGGTACTTCCTTGACTCTCTGACACACCCTCTTGGATTGACCCGTGACT